TGGATCATATGGTAGCTCTATTTTCAACTTTTTGAGGAACCTCCATACTGTTTTCCAGAGTGGCTGCACCAGCTTGCATTCCCACCAACAGTGTTAGCCTCTCTTTTTTTAACGTGTGGTCCGTCACTCAGATAGAACGCCCGTGTGTTCATAAATGAGCGGCTTGCCTGCAGCCCCCTGACACCCTATTTGTGCTCTCTTTCGTTTCAGTCTCCAGAAGATTTACGCATTGCTGAATCCCACGTGGGCACGCCAGCCTCCGAGGCCAGGACCGTCCTGCGGATGGCTGAGAGTCCTCTGGGGCCCAGCGACTCTGAGTGAGTAGGACCTGTGGTTGTCACTGCTGTGCTGTGCCCCACATGCCATTGTCATAGACACCTCGGCTCATGTGCTAAATGGGAGCTGGGAGAACACCAGTGCGTCCTGTCGCCCCCACCTCTCTCTCTAACAGAAGCTTGAATGCAGCTATGCTAAAATTTTTTCATGGTTTTCCTTTTTTTTTTCAAAGTTACCTTCATTTTTTTTTAAACATTTTTTTTTTTTAAAGATTTTATTTATTTATTTGAGAGAGAATGAGAGAGAGAGAGCACATGAGAGGGAAGAGGGTCAGAGGGAGAAGCAGACCCCCCGCTGAGCAGGGAGCCCGATGCGGGACTCGATCCCGGAACTCCAGGATCATGACCTGAGCCGAAGGCAGTCGCTCAACCAACTGAGCCACCCAGGCGCCCTTTTTTTAAACATTTTTAAAAAGATTTTATGTATTTGAGAGAGAGAGATCGTGAGCGAGAGAGCAGAAGCAGGGGGAGCAGCGGAGGGAGAGGGAGAAGCAGGCTCGATGTGGGGCTCGATCCCAGGACCCCGGGATCATGACCTGAGCTGAAGGCAGCCGCTTAACAGACTGAGCCACCCGGGCGCCCCATAAATTTACCTTCATTTTGTGGAGAGAGACAGGAAGGAGTGCAGGATGTCCCTAGAGGACAGGTGGCCACACAGTAGACTATGTTTCCTATGACCCTGTCCATCTCCCCTGTCAGACCCACTGGGTCCCCTTCTGCTGCCCTGGTGTTCTGAGTGGCACTGTGTTGCCTCCTAGGCAGCCCCCCCTTCCTGTCAGGGTGCGGAGGGGCCAGGGGGGTGTCTCTCCCTCGGAGTACAGCCATGAGGGCCCCAGGATGTGGGCAGGGTCTGCCCCGCTGACCTAGCAATAACAATTCCTAAATTGTTCTGCACCCAGGCCATTGTTCTGACACAGGTGGCCAGCCTGGGGTGCCCGTCCCCAGGGTCAGCAAGTGGGGCAGGGCAGCCTGAGGTTTGCGGACCACTGTGGAAAATCCACCCCACCGTCGCCCAAGTGGATTGTGCCCGGCGCCCGGGCTATGACGGAGGCCTCAGACAAGGCTGCGCCTGAGGGGGTGTCACCTGCTAGGGAGTGTGTCCCCAGGCCTGCATTAGCTTCTCAGGGCTGCTGTGACAAAGTACCACAGACTGAGGTCTTAAACAACAGAGGCTTATTCTCTCTCAGTTCTGGAGGCTGGAAATCCAAGATCGAGGGGGCAGTGGAGATGGCTCCTTCTGGCGACTGTGAGGGGGTTTGGTTCCAGGCCTCTCTCCATCTGCTGGTGGTTTCTGGCGTTCCTTGGCTTCTGGCGCCGTATTTCTAACCACGTGGCCTGCTTGTGTCTCTATCTCTGAATCCAAATTTCCCCTTTATATAAGGGCACTAGTCATACTGGATTAGGGCCCACTCCAATGACCTCACCTTAACGTGATCATCTGGAGAGTCCTTGTTTGCAAATAGAGTCACAAACACAGGTCCTGAGGGTTAGGACTTGAACATTATCTTGGGGGCCATAATTCAATGCATAACAGGTCCCCTTCTAGGGCAGGGCTCATCTTCCAGCTGCTTATGGGGTCTGGTCAAAGGAGCAGCCCAGCCTTCTCCTGCCAACGGATGGGGGCATCATCAGCAGCTGTGTAATCATCCCACACGAGCCCTTTTTGTAGCAGGGTGCCTTTGTCCCTGTGCCAGGCCCTGTCCTGGGTGCTGGGGAAACTGAGGCAGTTAGGACCCAGCCCTGTGCACAGGCGTGCTTACACAGCATTCTTGGCCAGGTCCTTTCTGGCTGTGACATGACATACACCACCTGCCCTCAGCCCCCTTCACAGCCCTTGGTTCACTTTTTCAAATACTATTTTTATTTTATCAATATAATACCTCTACATATTTTGAGGAGTCAAGAGTTCTGTAAGGTTTATGAAGAAAATGATAGACTCTTGGCTTCCGCCCTACTCTCCCCGTGCAACTCCTGCCCTATCCTGCTCCCCATAGACCACCACTTCCAGCTTTTAGCTGTTTCTTCTGGGATTTATCTCTGTATTTGTAAAGATTATATATGTGCTGTTATTTCTGGACTTCCTGTTGTGGTAAAGATGATTTTAACTCATAGTTTTCATTCTGTAGGGCTGCTCTATTTAACCAATATAGTTATTTCATAATTTTGGGTTAAATCCTTATAAAATGTGTATCAGTCAGGATAGACTAGACCAGGAGATAGTAATAAACATCCCCTAGATCTGAGAAAATTTGGTTTCTAATTCGCAGGTATAATGTTTATTTTCATTTCCTGTTCTTTTGTTTTTGAGCAATTTCAAGACAAGATGCAGAAAGGTTGTGACCCTGTTTCCTAAAAACCAGAAGTAAGCCTGGGCATTCTTCAGTTTACTCTGGTTGTCTTCCCACCCTCTCTTATCCCACCAAGAATTCTTGTCCAGGTCACCAACACCTGGCGTTGACAAATCCAACACGTGATTTTCTGTCATCATCCTAATTGCCCTGCAGCATTTGGATATTGTTTCTCTCTCTCTCTCTCTGCCTTGATCTCAATCTTAGGGGGAAAGTCTCCAGTTCTCACCATTAAATATGATGTTATCTGCATTTTTAAAAAATTGAGGTTAAATTCCCATAACATGAAATTAACCATTAACCATCTTAAAGTGTATAATTTAGTAACATTTAATGCCTTCCCAGTGTCGTGCATCCATTATACTTCTACCTTGTTCCAGGACACGTTCATCATTCCAGAAGAAAACACTCATGCTCATTAAGCAGTCTCTCCCCATTCCCTGTCACCCTTCCCCCCGCCAATCATCATCCTGTTTTCAGTCTCTATGGATTTCTCTATAATGGATGTTTCCTATAAAATTAGAAATCATACAGTATGTGATCTTTTGTGTCACAGCCTCTAGAACTGTGTGAAATAAATGTTTATAACCCACATAGTCTGGGGTATTTTGTTATAGCAGCCCAAATGGCCTTTGATTTGGCATAATGTTTATGAGGTTCATCCGAGTTGTAGCAGGTATCAGAACTTCATTCCTTTTTTTTTTTTTTTTTGTTAACATATAATGTATTATTTGTTTCAGGGGTACAGGTCTGTGATTCATCAGTCTTACACAATTCACAGCACTAACCATAGCACATACCCTCCCCAGTGTCTATCACCCAGCCACCCCATCCCTCCCACCCCCACCACCCACTCCAGCAACCCTCAGTTTGTTTCCTGAGATTAAGAATTCCTCATATCAGTGAGATCATATGATAATTGCCTTTCTCTGATTGACTTATTTCACTTGGCATAATACCCTCTAATTCCATCCACGTCATTGCAAATGGCAAGATTTCATTTTTTTGATGGCTACGTAATATTCCGTTGTATATATATACCACATCTTCTTTATCCATTCATCTGTTGATGGGCATCTGGGCTCTTTCCATAGTTTGGCTATTGTGGACATTGCTGCTATAAATATTGGGGTGCATGTGCCCCTTTGGATCACTACATTTGTATCTTTGGCATAAATACCCAGTAATGCAATTGCTGGGTCGTATGGTAGCTATATTTTCAACTTTTGGAGGAGCCTCCATACTGTTTTCCAGAGCAGCTGCACCACCTTGCATTCCCACCAACAGTGTAGGAGGGCTCCCCTTTCTCCGCATCCCCGCCAACATCTGTCGTTTCCTGACTTGTTAATTTTAGCCATTCTGACTGGTGTGAGGTGGTATCTCATTGAGGTTTTGATTTGTATTTCCCTGATGCCAAGCGATGTTGAGCACTTTTTCATGTGTCTGTTGGCCATTTGTCTGTCTTCTTTGCAGAAATGTCTGTTCATTCTTCTGCCCATTTCTTGATTGGAAGAACTTATTCCTTTTTAAGACTGAAACTATTGATACTATTGATGGAATACTGATACTGTTCCATCATATATTTCTATACCACGTTGTGTTTATCCATTCATCCGTCGATGGACATTTGGGTTGTTTTGACCTTTTGGCTATTGTGAATAATGCTGTTATGAATGCGTGTGACAGGTATTTGTCTGAATACATGTTTCCTGTTCTTTTGTGTATATACCTAGGAGTGGAATTGCTGGATGATATGGTAATTTTTGAGGAACCACCAAACTGTTTTCCACAACTACTGTATTGTTTTACATTCTCACCAGCAATATATAAGGGTTCTGGTTTTCCTTATCCTTACCAACATTTGCTCTTCTCTTTTTTTTTTAAAGTTATGGCCAGCCATATGGGTGCGAAGTGGTATCTTATTGTGGTTTTGATTTGCATTTCCCTTTGTGAAGCTAAGGATATTTTCCTCTATTATTAATTTAGTGAGTGTTTTTTTTTTTAATCAGGAATTGGTGTTGGATTTTGTCAAATGCTTTTTCTGCATCAATTAATATGATCATATATTTTTCTTCTTTAGTCTTGTGTGTGATGGCTTACATTAATTGCTTTTCTCATGTTGAAGCAACATGGCATCACTGGAAGACATGTCACTTGGTTGTGGTGTATAATTCTTCTCATACATTGTTGGATTCTATTTGCTAATATTTTGTTGAGGATTTTTAAGGGTGTTCATGAGAGATACTGGTCTGTAGTTTTCTTATAATTATCTGGTTTTGATGTTAGGGTCATACTGGCTTCATAAAATAATTCAGAAAGTGTTCCTTTCTTTTCTTTTTTTTTAGAGAGAGAGCGAGTGAGCACGCATGTGTGCATGCAAGTTTGGGGGGATGGGGGGCAGAGGGAGAGAATCTCAAGCAGACTCCCCACAGAGCAAACAGCCTGACACAGGGCTTGATCTTACAACCCTGGGATCATGACCTGAGCCAGAACAAAGAGTTGAACACTTACTGACTGAGCTACCCAGGCGCCCCATTCCTTCCTTTTCTAATTTCTGAAATAGATTATATGAGAATTGATATCCTACCTTCCTTAAACATTTGATAGAATTCATGAGAGAAGTCATCCGGGCCT